CACCGTGTGGGTGAAAATTATTGAGCCATTCCTCCTGATTTCTTTTCCTCAAGCCTTTTTTTAAAGGCCTTTAACTCAAAAGTGACCTTTGTGACCTGTGCCCGTTATGCCGGATGGGTTGCATAATGCTGCAGCCTCCCTCCATCAGACTAGCTAAGAGACAACATGCTCAGGCAACTAGCACCTCGGCTATGTGTGAACTTTCTAACTCGATCACAAAATTTCAGAACTGTACTAGAGACCATCATGATATTCTGCCACAGGCAAGGAAATTCTTAAGTAAACAACTTCGACAGAAAATGATCAATGAATAGAAAACAGAGTGATACCACATCACTCCAACTATTCCCAAAAGGATGCCACATAGGGTTAGTGTGACAGCATTAGAGGGCGCGATTTAGCTGGTTCATGCACACCACAATGTAGTTCTCTGTTGAGTTTGACCCAGTCTGGCATCATCTCAGTAGTCGCTGACTGTTGGCTGTAGCCATAAACTCAAATCTTCACTCCTTCCTGACTTGGGTCTGTGAAAATGTGCAAAGGTCAAACTAGGTAACGAACTAGATAACACAAAGCATGCTGTTCGAAAAACAGCTACAGGGCAATAGACCTTGATCATTATGATGCCATGTTTGTCTTGTTCCCTGTAGACCGCAGTAGTAATACAACTTAACATATTGAAAAAAGGGACCAGAGTATTTTCCCTTCCAGCCTCACTTTGGTTATATTGGTTTGAATATTTGATGACAACTGCAGGTGATGTTGGTTTTCTAGGTTGCAACAACTAAAAGTAGCATTCAGTGCTTGTTCCAAAAGAGCTTCACAAACCTTTTAATGCCTCCTTGCAAAATCCCTCAAAAAGACTGGTTTTTTATTTTTCTTTCAACAGATGTAATAAATGTCACAGTTGAAAAGAACATGTTGAAATTAACCCTCGGTGCAAAATGGAAATAACTCCCTAAATGTAAATATTAGATGATGGAACACATGTTCGAAAAGTTACACACAAGACTAAAGATGAATGTTACAATTCCATCGAGCTCCATGCATGGCAAGTCATGCTGAATGTACATTAATCAGGTATTCATGTATCTCGTTTCAATAACTTATAAAGAATACGCAATGATGAGACAAGTAGTACGTGCTGGTCTTGTTAATACCGAGGTGCATGCACTACATGCATTAATGACTCACTGTCAGTACCATGCCAGGTTTATTAAGTAACGAGAGAAGCTCTCAACATTCGTAACATGATGTGCTAGATTGATTGATAGCATTCTAATACGGTGAGGTACTGCACTTTATCTTTGTCATCGGTGCCTGAGAAAAAGTTTTTTCCTGTGCTCAATCAAACGGTGAGGTCAGCATTCACTCCTGTGCTCCTGCTTAAGAAGTTAAAATAGATATCAATCAAGTCGGACAGACTCAATTAAACCAACTATTTTTTAAAAGTGAGATTTCAACCAATTACAAGCGACTTCTTTTCTATCCTCAAAGCAAAGTAAAACAAACAAACAAACAAACAAACACCCCAACAAACAAACAAACAAACAAACAAACACCCCAACACCCCAACAAACAAACAAACAAACAAACACCCCAACACCCCAACAAACAAACAAACAAACAAACACCCCAACACCCCAACAACCCAACAAACAAAACTCCAAACTACTGCTTCTAATTCCTACCTTTGGTATCTCAGCAAGGACATTACACAACTAAAGTCTTGATGAGACAAGCAAGCATGCAAAAGTGAAATGGAAGCAAGCATGAAAACGCAACTAAAAACCCCGGGCAAGACAAACTAAGAGTAACATTTTTTTTAAAAGATGCTGTTTCATTATCATCATTTAAAAAAATCCTCAAAACACTCCTTTGCTTCTCGACAAAGCTTTTCGAGTTTCAGCCATCTTGTTCACTGGCTATGTAATGACCAAAAAACAGATTGGAAAGTTCTCATTGTATCAAGGACATTGTATCATGGATGTACATGTATGTCGGATGACAGGTTGGAAGGATATTCGATCACATGTTCAACTGCTAGCATCGATGGAAATTCAACACAGAAGAAGAACTGTTCAAGTCATCACTGACATGAGTCGAATTACTTTACTAGACCAAACCCTAAGGATCTTCCTTACAATTGTTGGGAGGCCTGGCCTTCATTGACAGATTGTTTCAATGACCAGAAGTTGCAACATGAAAAAAAATTAAATGTTGCTTTCATTAAATTTCTTGATGAGGTACGTGCAAGCTGTAACACAGATTCCTGAAAAACGGCATCTTTCAAAATAGTCAGAAAAGTTTAGTAATTTTTGGAGACAAGCAAAACACCACTTTAGGTAATGTAAAGCCATCGAGTCTAGTCACAATGCACTTGCGATATTAAGAATGGTGACCCATCATCCAAAATAGGACAATACTTCTCCCATACTTTTTCTTCCCCAACTTCTAAGTGATCCAAAGTCTAAATTCTGTCTGCAGAATTAAGCTGTAATGATTATTGGCAAGGTCTGTTGTGCAACTTCCATGAACATGACCAGTGAAAGTTCTGGTACTAAAATCACATTCATTTGGGTTTGGAATGGTTGGTCACACGTTAACCCTAACCCCCCAGGGTGCATGTAAAATCATATTGAATTGGAGGATTTGGGACCCAAATCCTCCAATTTCAATATCAATAAAATCCTTCAGCCCTTTTTCCTACGACCATTAAAACAATGTACTAATTAATTAACCTCAAAACTCCCTCACACAACCCAGCATTTTCAACACATGTAAAAGCAGCTGCTGTCTGAAAACTCGTAACACGGCTGTTTGAGAAGTTAACAACTTTGTGTAAAAGTCACGAATTAGTGCACAAAGTAAAAAATGTCTGGTATTTGTAGTGATATCCACAGTTCAATATAGAAAACAAAAAGTTCTCAGACTGTTTTTTACCTGTCATGTGATGCTTTCATCATGAACCTCTGCAGCACATCGTCAGGATCCACCAGAGAGGTATTATCTGCTGAAGACATGGACAAATCAACTTGAACTTTATTGATAAAATAAATAAAATGGCCATTTTGGATCATGGAAATCCACTTGAATCGATTGACCACTCAGACACGGGATGAAACCCGACTATTTTGCCTTTTAATAATACGGACATTTTGAAACACAGTGTTCACTGAGAGATTGCCACGGATCAAAGGCCATTTTTGGCAGTGCATTGTGGGAAATGGTCAACAAGTTCTATCCGCTGGCTATGTGCGGGGAACTTGAATTAATCCCGATGTTCGTTTGTCAGGGAAGAAGATTCTTAAGTGTATTTCAAGTAGCAGTTTTAATTAAAATTCTTTCTTTGTTTGTCTGCACGGAATATCCCATTCTATCAAAAATTTCCCTTAGTTGTCTGATAACCTACCCTCAAATGGCAATTACGGCAAGGCGGCCATGCTTTGTCAAGCATAAGCTTGAAAAATGGTCTCTCTGTGACAACCCCTTGGTGGCATCCAGTAGATGAATCATCCCTATTGCTAGTACAGCCATATTTGAACAAATATTTTTTAAGTGGACAAAAGGGTGACATGAATTTTTAATCATAATTCTCAATAACCAATCAAAGCAGAAGGATTGTAATCCTCGAGTATGACTCACCCTCCAGGTGTTTCAAGGCCTTGTTTCTTTCCTGGTTTTTCTTGGCGAGGTAATCAATTGTATCGTTGTCAAAACTCATTGTCGATCCGAGCGGGTCCTTGGGCTGGCAAGAGGCAAACAGAGGTAACGCATAGCGAATGTTATTTGAAAAGGTTTGCCTGTGCATCTTTTGAAAAAGAACTCTAGGCAGAATAGAGGATGAAGGTACAGTGGAATGCCGCTATAGCGAACACGACTGGGTCCACGCTCAATATTCGGTACTGCGGTCGTTCGTTATAGTGAAATTAACTGCCGAACGTTTCGTTGCCATGTTGAATAGCGCCCTCTCTTGTCTAACTGAAGTGCACACTCTTGTGATAGTATGATTCGCTGTTTTCACGATGTTTTGCCGTTACATTCACGTTTGAGGTTTCTAGAAATGTATCTGTTAATTGTTTTTGTTTTTTATTAAATCTTGAGTTACAAGATTGATATTTAGTTTATCCTAAAAGTCGTGAAGCTACTGCTTAGGATTGATCTCTGATGCATGCTGTGGCCAATCTCAGTTGATTTGCAACAGCATAATGTTTGGTAGGTTTTGCGCACAAATTTTGGGAGCCAAGGGCGATGTTCGGTACAGCCGGATGTTCAGTATAGCGGTGTTTGGTATGGCGACATTCCACTGTACTATAAACTCCAAAACACTACCTCAAAGTGCTTTAGGTTCGAAGACAAAAACTATTTTCCAAGTTGGCTGATGTTCCCTGTATGTAACTACTACAAATGAACCTTTACATGAACAAACTATGAGAATAAAAGTGTAATTACTACCTGTATTTGGGGGGAATAGTCTCCCTTTACACTCGGACCAGGAGGTACATGTAGAGTATTTGCAATAATTTCCAAGAAGTCAGGATTTCAGACAAGATATCAAAATTTGAATCTTAAATGCACATTTTTGGCAGATCTGGGACTTTTCCAAAAGGCACAGAGGTCAGTATGAGCTTGTACCTTATTCTGAGCAGCCACTGAGGTTGACGGCTCACCGTAGTCTCGTCTGGGCGACGGGGGTTTCTTCCTGTGTGGAGGCGTACTGGGAATGTCCGCGATGCCATTGTTGATTCCGATGAAGGCACTCTCGGATTCCAAGGCCAGAAGTGGGGAGTCGTTCTGGAGAAAGAAGGGAGGGGGAATAAAATGTTTGGGCATTGGGAATTATGGGAACAGGAAATAGGGCAGTGACCTACATTTACAAGATAGAGCTCCCTCTAGCATAATACACTGTTTGATATATATGCCGAGGGCATGATCTCGGCCAATAGAACGAGTTAGAAGTCCTCTCTGAATCCGTCTCACAACACAAGTGGAAAAGTCCCTCAGGAGGTATCTTAATACAGTAACCATCCATAGCTGGATGTACGAGAACAGACACCTCAGACTTGGCTTACACTCACAGACAATGACTAGAGCAGGCTTACCCTCCCAAGGTCTCTCAGATTCATACTTGGCATCTGATCTTCCAATGGTCTCTTGCTCTTCTCTGGAGACAGACCAACAAAAATGGGGTAAACTACATGCATGTCAACAGTATACACAGAGTTTTCAAAAATAAATTTCTTAAGTGATTATGGTTCAGGTCAAGACCTTCACAGGTTGTGACATTGGGTTTTTTGAACTTGACAAGGTTCTGAAACCTCTGAAATCCTAACAGTTCAAGGACCCACGACTGGCACATCCTTCAAGAAAACTTGTCACAACTTGTCGATGGGTAGTCTCTACACAATCCAAACTTCAGCAAAATACCTAAAATGGCAGCCGTTGGAATTTGGTGCCAGTGTGGTGGCTGTGGATCGCAGAGTTACATGCATTCATTTTGCCACTACGTCCTTGGCAGTGTAGCAAGACCCAAAAAGGCCAACACAAGACCTCAAGTCTGAATTCAAATCACAAGCTAATCAGAACTACAACAAAAAATTCCTCTGTCGCTGTTCACTGTTACTTGTGACTTGTCTTCTTGTGAAAGACTTTGTGCCTGGTCTTAGCGTGGTCTCGACTACAACACTGATCCTTGTCAGGATGAGCTTGGAGTACAGTTGGGAATCCCTAAACTTTTCAGGGGAGGTCATGTTACCATGCCAACAAAATGGAGAGGGTTGTAACAATGATAGTGATAAAACACTAACTTTTGGGGGCATTTAACAAGTATTACAAGGCATGCATTCTCGCCAAAATGGGCTACTCACTGGGTAGCATCAAGTGCATAACAGAACATGGCAAACCCTATCAACATCGGAAAATCTTGCTGTCTCGTGTCAAAAAATTCTGAAATCAAGACAAGTTCTGTGAAATCACATCCCTGCTGAATTTTAGTCATATTTTCAATAGTCATCTCTCCCGGGATTCAGCATAAGCCAAGTTTGTGGCTCAAACAAGAGTTCAATCACTGGTTAATTGCTCCTTACACGAACATGAACCAGTGCATACATACTGTGCCGTCCAACTTGAATGACCCTGCTTGAACTAGTCTGTTAAAAATCCCACTGTCACCCTCACTTCACAGTTGACTGCATCTGTCTCACTGCATTCCTGGGCTCTGCCATCTTGCCCAATTATATTCACGCCAGTGGTTCAATTCAATTTATACAGAGGGCGGCTACGGATGACCAGCGATGCAACTATGCCAGAGGGCTTTGGTTCTGAATGGTTGACTTGACAGTCCAATCATTAATCATGCAGGAGACACCGGCCGACCTATGGTTCATTTTAGTTGGCACTTGGACATAGAAATTAATCCAGGAGATTAGGGTAATTGTAGACAATTTATACCTCTTCGCATGTTCTCCAGTTTTTCCTGCTGGTGCTTCAACAGTGCCCTCTGTTGGGCCTCCAAGGTGAGGTCAGAACTGGGCTCGGTCGGGTATTGCTCCCGCAATCGTTGTCGAGAGTCAGATTCTGTATATAATGGGACAAAAACATGTGTGAAGGTATACTCTGTATGATCAAACCTTTGTCATGGGCATACTGTGGAATCAATTTGTCCAATGAAAAAAAATTACTCGGCGGTAGTCTTAAGACTGAATGACTTGTGATAAGCTCGAAGGGACTTTGTGATCAACTTGACTACGGCCACAACAGCAGGATGCTCGAGTCAACTTTATCATCTGAAACTCATCTGTTACTGTGGGCCGATATGTTTAATCAGTAACTAATTGGGAAGCTCACAATGGAAGTAATACTATCTAATGACAACTTTACTTGGAAAATCGATTTTTCTCAGCAGGCATGACGACGACGTGGAGAGCAACAAACCGTGACACTGTTGCTGCAACTCTAACTGCCACATTCAGTCCAATACAAAGCCCATCGCGATCTGAAAACCAACACATACCTCTGTTTTTGAGACTGGAAAATTCAACTGCAGCGGCATGGTGGGTCAGTGGCTCCCTTCGCACGGTGACCGGTGCCTTGTGACGAGCAACTTCAAAAACGTCAACCTGAGGGCTGGCGCGACGAGAACTGACTTTGGGACCAGAGTTGTAGGGACCGTGCTGATGGAATGAGAAAAAAATTCACAAGCAACATTGTCAAAACGTATGTCTGTAGTATAATCCGCCCCGAGCGGAAGTGCTCCCCAATCGGCGAGAGAAAGACAGGTGGTTACAAGCAGGCTCTTCCACGCGTTCTGCGTGTACGCAAAGACCATACATGCCGGAATAAATTAGTCACGCATACTCAGCGTGCTCCATGTCAAATACGCATATAATTGTGGGCCTCATGGCATGCCTAAGCGGTAAGTACTAAAAAAAAGCCCTCTTTTGTTCCGCTTGGAGCGGAAAAGCAATGAAAGTGCTTACCCTTTTATATGATCACATTATACATGTTTTGTAACATCCAGCTACTTTAAAAGTACTCCTATTTTGAACTTGTTCACAAATCACATTGTATGTGGGTCTTGAGCAAAAACCTGACGATGACGAATTTCAGTTATCAGAAAAACAAGATTTTTTGGGTACTAATGATTTGATTTTGTTGGATTTCAATGGGCTCCATCCACAGCTTGGTTGGAATCTCTTGGATTCAGCAGGCTACACTTTTTAACTTTTGTTGCAAACTATTTAATCCAGGGATGTAAATCCACTTTGCTCAAAACTGGACAGTATGAACAGGAGAAAGTTGTGTTAGTTCTCTTCTGGGTTCTTAGAATATTCCAGCACTGTGCCAGATACGACATCAACTTTTGAAAAATTTTTTGTCAGGTGTGATGTTTTGATGGACCTACCTCCCTGTTTCGGTCCAACTGGCTTTGAATGCGTTGCTGCTCACTATGCAGCTGCCGTCGCATCGCTGACAACGCCGACATGACATCACGCGGGTCGCGCCCTTTGCCATCTACGCCATTTTTAGAGGTGCCTTCTTGCTCCTAGGTGGAGGAACAAAAGCATACACAAATGAGTGCACAAAAAGACTTTCAATGCAGCAAATTCAGAGGAACCTAAATTTCAACCTGTAACCTGAAATATAGAGGTGTAGTGTATTAGCAACACAACTCTCTTTACAAGGCCGTTATCTCAAAGCGCCTATTGAGTCACGATTTTGAGTGGCAAACGTTCTAAATCTTGCTGTAATCAGCATGTGCCTCATCGTGGGAAAAGGTGATATTTTGATGAATTTCCATGCAATGGCCTGCTCGAAGTTGAGAGGGCAAAATTTCTCATGCGATTTCATTTTGAGTTCTTTGTCAGCAATTACGTCTTTGATCACAAAAAGTCTCAGGTTATACAAAAAAAGGTTCAAAGGGAACATCATATTGGTTGTTAGGGAAGATCACTTAAGGTGCCAGAGTCTTCCAAGCGTAAAGCCATATTGCCTGTTTACTCACTTGAACTTCATACAATTGCATCTCTGGAATGTAACAGGTTATTGAGTTCTGCCATTTAAATATACCAAATGAAAGCTTACACGATGGACTTTCCAGCCATGAAACTAATTTTTGTTTTCTATTTTTGTCGCAGAGGTTACTTATCATGGTGGCATTTATAACAAACCACATACACCTGACAAACAGATTAGGAGATAATCACTTCATGCCTCATTAACTTGGCCATGGTAACTCTTTCATCCGAGAACTAATGCAATAAACTGCTGTTTATGGTGCAGTGCAGTTACAGCACAGCATAGAATAACAAAATCATTACCTCCTTAGAAAAATATGTCAATAGACGTGGACATTCATATCTACGAAAGAGTTTGTGAATTTTTCGGAAGGTCAAAGTTTGAGGGTACAGTATCACAACAACAGGGTGCAACAAGATCTGTAACAAGAGATCAGTCAAACTATGACGTACCTTACATGTACATGTACCTTATAGGCATGTACTGTACAGTTTACACCAGTACATGAAACCTACAGATGGTAAAAGGTGGAAATGGGACAATCTGTCTATGGTCGAGTTCGGGCGGCCTGTTCTTGACACGGGTTTCATGTTCTCACGCTCGAACCGTGGGAACAAGACTCAAGAACATTGTTCTCGGAACAGGATCACACACCACCTCTTTGTCAGGGTTTTACAGGAACACACGGAAAAACTCGTGAGATTTTGATTTTTGAACAGTTGCAAAAAGTAGAGAGATGGCTTCCAAAGCCATAGACAATGTGAAGTTTTGCAAATTAACATTAATTATTTTCTGTAACACAGAAATGAATGTTCCTGTTTATACAGTAAAAAATTCAGCCCATCCAAACATTAACTCTCAAATAACGTAGCCTACATGGACGCCACCATGTCATGTTGCATGTCACTAACTACCAGCGATAACCGGTTGTTTGTTCCCGGCGTTCGAGAGGCCGACCTATGAACAAATCGAGCTGTTAGTGAACATACGGGGACAAGCCGCCCGAACTCAGCCTTTAACAAAGAGGGTAGGCTGATACCGTAGGGGACAGCCTTGGGTTAACAAACTCTATATTAAAGTATCAAGTCTGTGATCTGGACCATTTCTCGTTGTGAATATCAGCCCCAAGTGGGACCAAGAGTGGGCCCAATCTGCCAAGCAACAGACTCCTTCACTGGTTCACAGAGTTATGGTCATGTCACTACCAACACAATGAACACTCATGAACAAAATGGCTCTTTTCAAACGATAAGAGAAGTACCCCTACTCAAGGCGGATTAGACCGTGCATCCATTTGATAAAAAATAATAACGACAAATATTAAAAATAAGTGACTCACTTTTGAAACTGTTGCAGTGAGTTATTGTGCGTACAAGGTTGACGACATTTCTCACAAACGCATCTCTTCTGATAAAATTCATTTATTGAAACGAAGTCTAATTGATTGTTAAGTGCTAAATGGATGTTAGTAATTCACTCATAAAAGCCACTCTTTAGTCAGATTGGGAATATGAGAAGCAACTTCACAGGGTCCATCATTCTACCTGCTGGATCTGTAGCAAATGCTCTTCAGCAATATGGACGGCTTTCTTATACATATCAGACTGTGTGAAAGAGGAAAGGATAGTTGAACGTACTTACTGTAGTTAGACATAATATTCACGTTTTGAAATGGTGCATTTGGCAGATTCTGTTAAACAGGTACGTCTGTTCAATTGCTTGGCGGATCAATTTGTGAAGTCATCTTTCTGGCGATCACGGGATGATGATTTTAAAGACAGTGTTTATTTTTGATGAGACAAGTCCGCCACTAAAGTGGTTTCATAATCTTTTAACATTGCAGATGATTTCACAGTCAAGAAACGGACCTCAACAGTGAGGACCAACGTACAAAATGTTGTGCCAAGTCATTGACAATGGTATATCATTGTAGCGTCATACAGAGTACAAGCTCACCAAGGCAAATGAAAATGAAGCTGACATTGAATGAACTGGTACCGTAAAAATGCACAGAGGATGTCTGAATGCCCAGGTTATACTTGTACATCTGACTTTCTTTGCCATCCGGTTCGTAAGTGTAACGTCACTTCAGTTTAAACCACGCCTACTGCACATGTGCACTGCACATAGGGTTACATGCATTGATCGGCGTTTACATGGAACCGTGGAACCGGAAGTTAACGCGCAACTTCAGCGATCGTCCAGTCAGAGCCTGTAAATCGTGGCACGTCTTCCTTTGTGACGAAGTCACTTACGAACTGGATTGCTCTTATCAAATGACTGCTGAAGTTCATAACTTTTACAGAGAGCAAGGCTTTACCTGCCAGTTCTGTCTGGTTGGTTCAGGCTAAAAGCAAAAGAGTGAATATGTTGTCAAAATCTGCTCCACCACACTGCTTAACAAGAGGGCACTACATAAAGTTTGTTTAGGGACGTCCTTCTTGCCAACAAATTTCTATAATGCCACATTTCTCTGGTGAGGATTACAAGATTGTATCTTCCCGTTTAATGCAAACGAAAATCTTTTTGCATTTGGCGTGCCTCAATAAAGCATGGAAGAAAAGACGAGATACACAGCTTTGCAGTTTTAAAGGTTGGTACAGAAAGGGGAAAAAATCAACTGTTGAGAGAAAACCTGCCAAAATAAGAAAAGGTGCCAATTAAAGAGAAAATCATTTGTGAGGTAAGCTTACTTCCTTGGAGACATCAATGAGGAAATCAGTGAAAGTATCTCCCGGTGGGCTCTCCTTGAGTAAGCATTGAATGAAATGATAGATGATATATATATATGCTCAAGAAAAAACAAACAGCCTATATAATCATGCATATAAATATTTTCTAATGATCAAAATTTACATGCAGTGAGAAAAGTTGTAAAGTGCCAGTTTTGAAAAGAGAAACGTGGTTTTAATCTCGTCTACAAAACAGCTCAATGTTTTGATCAACTTCTAACTTAAAGAAAACCATCAAAAATTAAGCTAGAAGGATGATATGAACATTTCATTTACTTAGTTTACATATTTTTTATTTTAGTTTGAAATATTATGACCACTAGCTTTTTGTTTAAAGTTTTATTTCAATTTCTTAATCAAATCACAGATAATGGGTTGGAATTTGAAACTTAACAAAGAAAAACCTATCAGGTATTTAAAAATATTAACCAAAACTTACAAAATTGAATGAAAACAGGTCTTCATGGAACTGCACTCGTGATCAATGTGGAAGTAAATAAACAGGGTGAGTTACATGCAAGGTAGGAGACAAGGAGCCTGAGAGATTACCAAAGGAGCAAACCGAAGGTTAGAGGGCAGTGTCTCTTGAATGGAATTGAAGTAGAAAGGGTGCTGTAAGAATCACCGCAGATGCTGGGTTTTGAGGGTGTGGTGAAGACGGGCAAAATGAAAGGTATAAGGATCTGGCTCAAACTTTTATCTGGAAAGATATCACTGCTCTTGAAAATACATCTTCAACCCAAAAGACAGAGAACTTTACACTAAAGCAGGACCTGTTAAAACACCTAGTGCAACAGTGTGAAATAGCTGCATGTACAAAATCAGCATTTTTATACAAACTTTTGGTGTGGGAAATACACCACATGCTGTACATGTTCCGTCATCCATGAAATGAAAATGAATGAAAAAAGCCCCAAAAAAGAACTTCAGTAAGATCTCTGTAGATTTTTTGTTTTAATACAGCCATACTGTTGTCTCCAAACTTCACAATACTTCATGCATTCACCCAATTAACAAGAAATGAATTTGTGAATCTGGTGAAGGATTTCAATGGAGTTAAGAGCAAGTAGCCACCAATGGATAATACACAAACTTCTGGTATCACATTTATTTGGATCTGTGCAGAAGGTTGACACTCAGTATTATGCTAATCTAATCTGATCTAATCACACACGCTGTGTCAAGCACACACCACGATTCCATTTGATATCTTACAGGTCTAGGCTTATTTTTTGGTTTCTCTTGACTTTGGTTCTTGGCTAGAACTTTGGCATGCTCACTCCACGAATCACGCTGCTGGCACCAGCCACAGAGAGAAAAGAAGACAAAAAAAACCAAACATGCAGAGAGAATCTTAAAGAGAGATGTGGCACATATAACCCACAATCTACGACATAGGCTAAGATACTAAAACGGAGATGCAATGTATCAGAAAAGTTTTTGACAAATTTCATCTCACATGGATGTCGTCGTCAGACAGAATACCAGGATCTGACAACAGATCGATTGGACGAATTTCCTACGTTGAGGCAGCAGTACATGAATTAAAACATCAAGCAAATAACCATCAATCTATAAAAACCTGTAAAAATAAAAGCCATCCTTGACTGACAAAGATATAGGAAAGCTCTTGTAGCGTATTTCTACCTTTGTTAGTCATAGCTCACCAAAGAGGAACAGTGATCTGGGCTTGTGACCCCCAACAACTTAAAGTACATGTACACTTTTCCTTTATTTTCTTTCTCTTTCTGGGGCTTTAATTTTTTATTTAAGTCACAAAGGTACATGATCTCCATGCTGCACATCACATGTTCAAGAACTACATATTTTGAGAACCTTCCGATCTTCTTGTAAACGAGACCTGACGCTAAATATTGGGATTACCATTTCTTTCCTGTGGAGTATGAGAATAATTAACAGCACTACCAAGATTCAAACCACAGTGGTAGTTCCCTCATTTCCGGTGGTCTAGGTTCGAATTCCAACCTGCTCCGCTGAATAAGTTGGTTCTATATCAATTTTTCCTCACAATAAACTTGCTTGGATTTTTTTCCCACCACCACTTCAAAAGAATACTCTCTCCTTATCCCCAACTGCTGAATGATTACATTTATTTCCACGAGTGCCATAAAACTTCATAATATTCTCGGTTTTTTAAAAAAAAGTTCTAAACCCTTATTCCAAGCAAATCTTGACAAGAGATCTTACATTGTTCCTTTTTCTTTCCTCTTCCAGCAGCTTGCAAATCAAAAGCAATCAGGAAAAATGTAAGAACAAGAAATATTAAGATCCAAAGAATGTAGAACTCCCTCAAAGTATGCATGATTTTTGGCAACACATTCAATAGGGTTCATTTAAAACCCTGACACTATCAAAGTTTTAGTTGGATATTGACAGTTAACAAATACCAAGTGTTAAATGCAAAAAGGGCAACTACACAACGTCTGATGCACTGACAGTCTGGACAAATCTATGTTAATAATTAGCAAAGGTTCAAAGGTCAGTTGAACGCAGATATACATCTCAGCAAAGGTTAGTCAGAGGATGAGTGAAGAGAACTTTGCAACAACGTTGCTGAAGTTACCTGGAAAGTGGCCACTGGGGCCCTAGAGCTGAGGGTGTGGCAAGTTGGTCCAACACCCTCAAAGAACAGCGTTATTGCTACACCCCTTAATAAACTACAATTTGAAATAGCTTTGAAGAGGATTAAGCAACTGTGATAGTAGAAACTCTCATCCAACACGTTAAACACAGCTCAGTAAACAACTATAACTATGAGGCACGAAATCAGCAGGGCTCAAACATCATGTTAGAACTGAAAACAGTTAACTGGAACTCCGCACAACTCCAGTACCTTCTTTGAGACCGGTGTCTGAATGCGTTCCACCTCATGGAGCAACGCCTCCACATGACCGTGTTTCATGTCCGGGCAGAACTGCAGGAGCGTATGCCGGCTCATGCGACGAACCGTCTTAACAGTCTTGTACCCATTCTCCGCCAAGGCGGGCGCGTACACGACCAGGTCCGGGTCAATGGAGCGCAGCCAATCCACTAAGTCAAACTTCTTTTTCCAGTTGCAAAGCGATAGGCGGTGAAAAAGGAAAGATTTGAATGTCTCAGACTGAAGCAACAATTCTTGTCATCATTCACACTTTGCACAGTCAAGCCAATCCAAAAAGCCAGTTACCCAGACACTCTGAACAAGAAGTGAACTGACCTGTCCACTTACTGAACATACATCCTTATTCTCAAAGCCGATTGGTCAGTTTAACTTTATTGTAAACCTACAACTTGGGCGTCAGCCCATTTGGATCACAGATATTCCTTTTATCATTTCCCCCATGAAACACAAAGGCAAACGGTTTCCAGCACCTTTCACATCTGAAGTCATGCTTTGGAATCTGCTTTGAAATTCAGCAAAAGAGTTACGGTAGTTAAAAGTGTCTTCTTCATCAAAGACTCACCTACATGTACAAATATCATACTGACATGCCAACCACACAAATATTACCACCACACAAAAGCAAAGCTACACCTAAAACATTTAAATGCTACTCTGTCTAAGAAATGCAGTACAGTACACGCAAAGCATTTTTCGATCGACCGGTAAGGAAAAGAAAAATGATTAGCTTTAATTTGTTATCAGCCTAATAACAAAAGACACAACATCACTGTTTACAGTGTCATTTGAATTTGAGTGATGTCGTCCCTTAAATGCTGAAACCAACTGTTACTCTTTCTATTTTAGACAAAATTGCAGCTTTTAAAGACCATTTCAAGCAGCGAGAAAATTAATACCACTGAAAGTGGTCACAGGTGTCTTTAAGGACCTCCTTGGAATGTAAGGGTATATTTCCAACAGTACAATGAAGGACATCTAAGATTCATGATTCATGCTAAATTACAAAAAATCTTCACGTTTGCACATACATGTATTTGATAACACAAATGTACATGTTTGGATGAAGCAAGAATGCCAACATTTTAAAAAGCTGAGTCACAGACCTGGCATAATCACTGAAAAAAAAAATTTAATAGCTACAAGTATCTGGTCTTTGAGCACCAACTTTGTCACACTGACTTCCGGGCAAAACTCACACTAGATTTTCCGGTATTTTCCGAATGTTTTTCCTGCGATTCCTGGACATCCTGTCCTCCATCTGCCTCATCTCCATCTTTCGCTTCGTGGGTGTGCAGTTTTTCCATGGGACTCAGCGCAGCGTTATCCTTGGGAATAACCCGCGGGAGAGGGGAGCCAGACGGGCTCTCTGCCGGCAGCCGGAATTTATCCAGGGCCTCCAGCTGGGCGTGCTTTTCCGGCACCTCCTTGTCTGGGAAAATCCGGGCCCTCTCCTCCGATGTTTTCCCGGTGGGGCCCTGGGAGTATTCCCAGAGGTTTCCCAGAGGGTTTTCCTTTTCCCGCTTCAATTCCTCCCTTGGGGGAGTCTGGGTAGGGGAGAGCTCATTCCAGGGGGTTGAAATGTTGTCCTTGGATTTGGAATTAGGATTATCCAAGATTTTGTGATTATCCAAGTCTGATGGTTTCTCCTTAGGAATGCAACCGCAAGGTGGGAAAAAAACGTTTTGCAAAATACAGCATGAGTATAGATTGATGTACAAAGCAAAGAAAGCAAGCGAATGCAAAGTTTTATTGGTTTCATTTTTGATTTATGGGACCTTGTTCTCAATACATGCTTTTTTCATGAACACGTCTCGGGATAAACAAACTTTTTTAACAAATCTGCAGCCCAAAACATCATTTTCTGTATCTTTTTTATTATTTTTTTTCTTTTTTGGGGGGGGGAATGATTCAGGACATCCGTTCACTTCAACAGCATGTCAAGGTGAACACTAATAACTCATTCAGGCTGACTAAGGCTGAGAATTAGTGCGCACATGGAAGATAAATGGTTTCTAAAGTGAATTGTTTGTGGTACATGCAACTCATGCAGTAACTTATGAAGTGGCAATCACACTTTCACTTCACATGCTCTGTCGCATAAGAAATTTCTGTCTGACTGTATATTTGGTTCGGTATCAAAAACTGTAGGGAAGGAACGTTTCTTGGCCAAAATGTGAAAGAACTGAGCACCTGTTCACGTCCTGCTTGGTTTAAACTCAATAAATTTCAAATGACCAGTAAGTTAATTGATAGAAATATTCCGAGGTATAAAAGTCTCCCTAGAACCCATTGGAAAGCAAGGAACATTCTGAAAACTGACTTTGAATGGACGTTTAAAGATGGATGAGTACCTTTGATACAGGTCTGTTGTATATGTCACCCTGCAAAAAGAATTTTAATTGTACACGTGAGTTTCCATTTTTTGTACTTTGGTTTAATGATGCACGGCAAACAGGTTAGTTACCTGTCATATCAAACTTCAGAGATAAAATTTCATAGTTTGTAAGCCACAGCACAGATAGGAATTTGCAAGACTGGGTGTAAATGAGAGAAAACTGGACAAAGAGTTGCTGCTTTGCTAGAATGAGAGATGTAGAGAGATTCCACGGCCGAGACGCTTCATGGGGAATCAGCTTGAGAAGAGACCAGTCTACATGTAGTTCTCACTTTTTAGTCAAAGAGCTCTGTTTCATCAGCCAGTCATTTTGTCATTGACCCCCCCCCATGTGACGGCAAGAAAATCTTCCGTTCAAGTCCTCCCCAAATAATGAACAAAGACTAAAAAGAAGGATGAGGATAGATGGCTAGCATTAGTGTCAAGTGTGCAAGTGAAGGGGCAGAGAGGCGGAGCTGGGGGGGGAGGAGTTGCATGCAAATGATTGTCCATTATGGAGGAAACTTGAAAAGTGTCGTATGGAATATTATTCACCAGCGAAACTGAATTCATTACTGCCTGTTTGGATTGTGAGAATCCTACAAGGAGATGATGTAACCTATCACAAAGTGCAATTTTTTTCCCTAGTTTTGTACCTTGCTTCTGCACATATTGATTGAGATTTTAACAAATAGCGAAATACAAATTAGACTTTGAGCCTGTATGCCCAACTTCTTCATTGACTGAGGTCGATGGATTAACAAAAATTTGTCTGTTAGGTGTGTTGCAGCTATTACTTTTCTCAGTGCTACAGAATGCAGCATTTTGGGAGGTATTTCTAAATTTAACAACTCCTCATGACAGCACGGCACAAGTTTGAGAGACATTAACGAGCTGGATCTTTGTGAAAAGACATTCCGGAAGGATTTTTCCCTCCTCTGTCAAAGTGCACGTCTTGTACATGTAAATCCAATCTTCTCGAAACTGGCTAGTAAGCTCAACCTACAAACAGGTTTGATACATGTGCATGTACACTACCATACAATGTACATGTGTAGAGGACAGGATTCTATACTCTCCTCCACACTGTGCACATTGTGTCCACCACATACAGGTGCAATCTAGTCAATGCTACACTACCTTTGGTATACTGCAAACTGTAATTTGGTGTGTCTGGCATTTACCTCTGAACAAGTGTACGAGTGGTGTGCAACCAATTTCACCCAATACTTGTGCAATCCATTCAATACAATCTACACTGTACTTAAAGTGGTTTCACTAAGTCTAGCACCCAGACAGCAACGCACTGTTTAACAGTGCACATTGTGTCACACGGTCTGTGCAATCCATTCAAGACAACCTACTTTGGCTGGTCTCATAGGTCTAGCATCCATTTCTCTCTGAGTCTTGGTTGCAAAATGGAAACAAAACCAAATAGAATCTCCTCATGAATGCCTCTACCTTCAGAACTGTAATCCTATTTTTCCCAAATCAATCCTAAGCTAAGGCCAAATTTCATGAGGTCTCCAATAAAGAGAAAACACTGTTTGCAAATTTATGTACCATAAACAAAAACGAGTGCGGTCCTGGTATCAAGTGATATAGTTCGCATGATATTTCACCTTGTAGTCCATTTTTCTGTACCCAGCAGATATTGATGATGAGCAGGCTCCGCCAAATTGGCTCAAGGTCTTGAGAAATAAATGAACAAGGGGCGACATTCACTTGTGAAAGCTTGTGCATTTGGCCTAAAGTTTGAGGCATGATCATTTCTGATGATCTGTGGTAACTTGATTACAACTCAGAAGTTTCAAGTTTCGAACAACTGAACTCTCACCAGTGTTGTGGTTGAGACCAGTCACAAGAGGCACAAGACCAGTCACAAGAGTCACAAGACCAGTCACAAGACCAGTCACAAGACCAGTCACAAGACCAGTCACAAGACCAGAAGAGAACTGAAGACAGCACAACCAATAAAATGGCTTCTTCCTTTCAACCAATCAAAAGGCCTCTTCCACTACAATGTACATTAAGAATGTGATGTGTGAAGTTCCACCAGGCCGGCCATGCCGCAGAAAAGCTGTTCCAATTATCCAACCTTCAAACCTCTTTGCAATGACAACTTCTCTGCACACTTCATCCGACCCATGTTTCAACACAAATACTGCAATACATTACAGACTGCAGCTAAAATGAAAAATTGGGCTACACATGCACCATGACTTCAAACACCACCAGCAGAGTACGTGTCTTTGTATAGGAACGCTACTTGCCATGAAAAAATGAAGAACGCATACAGCTGAACTATGAAACAAACAACAGCAATTCTTTATCAATTCCTAGAACTTTTAACATCTCGTGCACAAAAGAGTCCACTGCTCTACATGACTGAACTTTTAAATAAGTATGGGAAAGATTAACTTTCCTACAGAGAGGACACTTGACAATGTGTGGCGGGCCCTGTAGGACTGGCCTGATAGATTTGGTCCTGAAAATGATGCAGGATTATTATTCTCCAAATTGAAACATGTTTTATTTCTGGGGGTTGGTGAAGTGTCGCAGAAAAGAATTCTTGGACTTGATATATGGAAATTTTTCTATAATAAGTAAGTACAATTTGCAAGTTTGAAATGCGGGACAGTTGTATGTGTAATTGTGGTGACTGTGTTAATATGTTTATTAAGGTTATTTAGTGTTAAAATGTTTTACTTTGTTATATTGCTGTAATTCAACCTTTGGTTGCCTAAGAGCAATATTAATAAAACAAGAGTAAAAATAAATAAACAAAGCCTCATTTTATTTGCGTAAATTTCCAAACTATTTGTCAAAGCAGAGTGTTGTTGATACACATACTTGCACAGCAGGTTGGACCTCTTCCAAGGCCCAGGACAAAACTCATCAATGTGTACTGACAAAGAACAATTACAAGTCTGTCGTGTGCTAAGTCCTCACCTGACAAGACCTAATATCTGAATATCAAACTCAAATCTGGGGGCTGAAATCAACAAATAGGTTTTACTCACTCCTGGTGGCCTGCGAGGTGTTCCATGAATATCTTTCGATGTCCTTGGAGACTCCTGTGGAGAAATTTATACATGTAAAATTTAGTCAACAACAAAAGCTTTCATGGTGAATTATCTTTGACACGGAGCAATATGGAGCACAATGTTGGTAAAGAGTCTTGCTTAGGGACACAAGGCTGGAGTCAAACTACTTACATCTGGAATCCCACGCCTGGGCCCTATTTCAGAGCACTGTAAGCACAACATTTGTGCTCACTGCTTAACAGTTAGCACAAATGTTGTGCTTACAACAGGAGAAAATCATGCAACTATTAACTGCTTTTTCACAACTTGAATGCTAACAGCTGCAGATGAACACGCATCATGGAAGATTTATATTGCTGCATTACTGATTTAAGCAACGTTATAATTCCTTGGGTATTAAGCCAGACCTGCCAAGCTTGCCGTACTCTTTCCTGAGGTCAGGCATTACCACACAATAGATTAAAAGGTTTTAATTGAGCCGTCAGTTCACTTGAATTTTTAATCTATTGTATGGTAATGCCTGACCTCAGGAAGGAGTACGGCATTTTGGCAGGCTGTTAAGCTTGTTTTTGCTGTGCTTAGCGATAAAAGTGACTGTGCAACATGGCTCAATTTGATGGGGCTGCTAAGCACACAATTTTATATTAACAGACTCGAGGCTCCTAGTATTTCATGGACACCATGCGTAGTAAGCAAAGCAAAAAGGCATGTTTAAATTGGAGGAAAATGTTATTGAAGTTAGCGACCTAACAATAGAAATTTTTATGTGAGCACATGCGTACGCATAAGGAAGCCAAGCAACGCCATGAACTAGTGTTTACGGCAAGCAAAATCGAATGCGATGGTAAGCACGACTTTTCTGTTAAGCAGCTCCATAAAATTGGACCAATTGAGGCCCTCAAGCAAAAGTATTCAAAATGAAAACCCTACTAGTCATCTGATAGACGTGCAATTGAGTCCATTACAAGTCATATAGTCTCGATTCCAGTCACTAGCTACCGGTAATCCTTCCTCCACTTTGACTGCTGGTTAACTAGACTACAACTCTACCCTTAACTACCAGATTTTCTAGGATGCACAGGACAGTGATAATGAAAAGCATGCAACTTTGGACCAACCTTTTTCTCCTCTTGTTTTTTCTTCCTCAGGGTCGGGATGGGTGGCGAACTTTGCCGCGGAGGATTCTAAAAGCAAAAAAGTATTCTAAATCCAATTTGTGACCGAATACTTGAGCTGTTCATAGAGCGAGTTGCAACATGATTGCTCAATTGTTGGCACCAAAATGGTGGATTATACATCAGTTTATATGGACGATGAGCACACAAAAGCTGCACGGCGTACTGCATTGCATAATGGTGGACAAGTCCTTAACGAGTAGGATGTTCACCGCTCCCCGAAACACATGCATACATGCACTTCCAAGTTACAGAATATGGGCAGCATGGGAAATAGGCGTAGCACCACCCCGGTGGTGACATCTCTTTGGATACAGATTTAAAAAGTCCTGAAGTACAAACAAAGCCAGCACAGGTATAACTTCTAAAACAGGCATCTTTTTTTGAGAGGGGGGACCATCTCATCGCTGAGGGGGAGGGAAGATTCTGTCCCCAAAAACTCTGCTTACCCAGGCCTGAATGTTTAAAAACTTGGCACACATGTAGTGACTCCCATTATCAGAACAAGTGTGAGGTTTTCAACTCAGTCCAATCAACCATTTTGTTGTGACGGTCAATTTGAGTTCAAGGCCAACACAGGTGCCAGCCCAAAAGAGTCCATTTGGGGCTGAGCTGTCTTGAAAAAAGTGGCACAATTGTGAGTCCAATTTCCATACAATAGTTGTCAAAATGACTGCAAGACACTGCTGAAGAAAACTCCTGAAGGCTCCCAGAAAAAAAAAAGCACTGCGATGTCGGAAAAAATGTCAAGGGGGTGTGGATTTCACCCTTCCCCTACTCTTTTTTGGGGTTGAATAAATTCAATAAATACCTTCACAGATTGAAAGTTATGCTGAATCTAAAAAGTTGCGGCTGTGGCTCAAAGTAGCACAAGTGTCTACGGAAGCCATTGGTTAGTGGCTAACTGCCACTTCTCACAGACACGCATGTTATACCTAGCCACAGCCAGTTGATTCTGATTCATCCTAATTAAGGAGTGAATTATGAACTCTTGCTAAGTAGGAAGTTCAAGGAGGGATTTCAGCCAAGGCTGAAACTTGTCTGACCTCTTTGTTCCGAAGCGCAGGAATCGGTGGTGAGTACCGGTCCATCTGGAAAGATAAAAGCAAAGACAAGTTGCTGCCTTGTCTAGATACTAAACAGTCGAGAAGCAATACAGTGCGCAGGGTACGTGAGTACTTACAACACACATTTTATGGAGGAAGGGGGGGCTCTGTGCATAAGTGTGCCTCGTCAAGAAAGCACCTTGTTTAAATCATCACGATTCAGCAAAATGGAAGTTGGATTTCTCAAGCTGGCGTGGGGTTGAAGCATGAAGGCGAGTTTGCCACCTGACCTGATCACTCTTCGTTGGTTCCTGTCTACGTCTGTCTTCCTCTGCTTCACGCCTCTTGGCTTCTATTGCATCGTGCTTCTTCTTCTCCACTTCCTTCTTCTGCTCTTCAATCTTTCTCTCCAGCTCCTCTGCCTGTCTCTTTTTCTGGAAGAGGAAGCAGAAAAATCAACAAAGCCTTTAGTACATAATAGAAAAACTCTGCAGCTTTTAAAATGTAAGAGAAACGCAGAGTCATTTCAGGTAAAGATTATTTGAGTGTAAATAATGATGTGTATAACATGCATAACTAGCAGGTATACATCATTACATGAAACAATTATTCAAAGTAACACAATCATCCATTGAAATAAAACTTTCAAATATGGTCTTAATTTTGATGTCCCGACAGTTTTGACAAATGGTAAATTTTGTCCATGTGATGTGCCTTTCACTACTTCACTGTGTATCTCTCTTTGTTACAAATTGTTCAATACTGACTTTGTCAATGCTTGTAATAGTAATGCACTGATCAAGTAGACCGATTAAAAGAGAAAAATTCTGATTTTGAAGACTTGGCTTGAATTCAAGATTATTAGCGCAACCTACAGAAGTAAAAAAAATAGGCTCCTCACGCGTACATGTACGTGTAACCTGCAATCAATTTGGCTCATAATCTTTGCTGATGATTGGGCAAAGTCGTGAAGCATAATGACACAGATTAACCATGTTGTACATCACCATGACAACACTGCTTACTTAACTTCACTGCTTGTACCAGTAACCTTGGCAACCCAATTAAAGGCCCAGAGCCAAGATATGGGCTTAACATGCATGTATTTGCCAAAGAAGCAGTGATCAACTCTCAATCACTGCTTTGCACACCAATTCAAAATGGTTGCATCTCCAACGGTATGATTTGCTCAAACAATCTGCTTCATGAAGGTTCCTAGCAATTGGTGAAATCAGTACAGAAGAATTATTTTAAGAACACTTTGTGTTGGTCTGGTAGTATCTAACAGTGATGTTACCAAAACGGTTCATCTTGGGCTTGATGAGTCTTTATCTAATGACTGAGGCCACAGGCGGTATTGAGAGGTGTGTGATAATTGGAGCAGCATGTCCACCTGCTTGGATCCAGTGGGAGGACAAATGCTACAGAGCCACCCAGCCCTTGGGATGGTTTGAGGCCAAACAGGAGTGCATCAAGATGGGAAGCGTCTTGGTTGTGCCACAGTCTAACGAAGAAAATGAGTTCCTCGCAAGGATAACACCAGAGTTTTGGATCAATTGCAACGATCTTCAAATTGAAGGTACCATACATTCCTGTACATGTTGGCAATACTGACTCACTAAATGGTATAAATACCCCAAAAAGGTTTCAATAAGACAGTTCCATTGCACAACATTTATCCTTAGATGCCAAAAGTACATGTACAACCCCACTGTTTAAATACCATTTCTTACCATCAACGGCAGAAGTAGACTTTTAATAAGATATTGCTCCCTTTTTTTCTGGTTCAATTCATTGTAGGAGTTTGGGTGTGCCTGGACAGAACCACTGCAGTGCAGTACCGAAATTGGGATTGGTGGGAACCAAGTAATGGACTAGGTGAAGAGCACTGCGCTGAGGTGTGGAAATCCGGCCCATGGAATGACCGATCATGTGATCATCAGCTACATGCCATCTGCAAACAACCTGTAGGCCCCCGGGCACACTGCCCAATCTGTTAAACTTCTACCAACTCTGACAAGGTGGGCCAGTTCACACTCATGCGATGCTGTGACATTAGATCCAATATTTGAACTGTCAATTTGCACAAGTTTAACATAAGTCAACTTGGGAGGAATTGCAATATTTTGTACCATAGCATTTGCACAGGCACTTTTGCTTTAGGCCTTGGACCTGAACAGTGTTTAAGTGATGGAATCTACTCTACACAAAATAAATATTCCAACTACTTAAATATTCACTGTGCACCCCTGTATCAGCTTTGCATTTTTCAAAGTGTGGGTTGTTATTCCGATCTCTGCATGTTTTTGTAGGAAGTAAAGTACATGGTAACAGTAACTTATCCTGAAAGGCGCAATCACAGAAAGCAACTTTCGTTAGTTTTAAAACAAATGGCAATTTGTGTAAATGAGTTACTCTCAACAATGATGCGCTTGTTCAAGTTTTGATTTTGGGGGATTAAAAATAAGTCCACTCTTACTAGAATATCAAGTAACATCTCTTCTAACAATTGGTAACAAGTACATTATGCAGCATGAATTTCTTGATCGATTTTGCTCGATTTGTACCGTGAGACAAGCAGAGCCTCAAACTGCGCTTATATGAACACCAATGAAAGTGGACTGCATGTACATGTAAATATCCAATAATACAGCACAACCACCGAAATTATCTCTAAGTTTGGCTGCATCCAAAAATGTATAATGAGTACAATATGTTTGTTGCAAACGTCAGATTTGACGGAATTTTGACAACGTTTGAAAATTTTGACCAAAAATGCATGTTGTACGAGAATGCCGAAAACGCTGTCACATGTAGTGCTTGAAAATTCCATGTTCAATGTTCATTTTGCCGCTTATTTTGGAGATATTTCTGCCGAAAATTAAAATTAACAACTCTGAGCATAAGATTTTTGTCGTGAATTGTACATGTATTTTATGTCTCTGACGTCATTTTTCTTCGAATGTCATTCAGAATGACCAATTTTCTTTAGAGAAACCGTGGTCTGAAGAGAAAAATCATTGAATGTCGCCATTTCGTGGAGGGGCTCATGAATGTCGAGTGAAAAAGAGGGTGCACTATCTGGGTTGATGTCAAAGGTCAAACAGGCCACGATGAAGTGAAATGTTTCTCTGATGGCACTGCGAGAGAATGATTGAAGCCACAAAATCACTAAAATCGCTAGAAACAGAGACAGAAAAATCAACATTACATTCATTGCAAAAATTGCGCAGAGTGAATTACGGGATATCAGGGAGAGAGCACTTTACTGAAGCAGTTACCCTGGAAATGAAAGTCAATAAAGACTCAGATGGCTCACTGGACCTGCACAGAGTTCAATTCCTTTCAGGAATGACAATTGGATGTCTATAAATTTTTTACGTACCCACAGATAAGAAATACCTGTGTATTGCTTCATGCCCCTGGGCATGCTCAGGCCCACTTGATTTCATTATAACAAAAGCTTGGATGAGAGAATTTGTGTGCAATGGGCTTTAAATAATACAGGACTAACAGGAGAGCAATTTTCAACCGCAGCAATTAAAAGTATTGGCTGAAGTACTATCAGTATATTGCTGACGTGTCGGCCACCGTGCAGTGTATCCAAAATCCCTCAGGGAGCACTGAAATAACGCTGTATGTGGAATCTTGCTGGATGAAGCATGGCTAGGAAACATGTACATGCACTGGTATGAGATGAACATGTTGAGTGTTGAAGCAGACATCAGTCTGGTAGCATCTGACAATCATGTTGCTGAAACAGTTCATCTTGGGCTTGATGAGCCTTCATCTGGTGATGGGGGGCACTGGTGGTAATGAGAGGTGTGTGATGACCATTGGTGGCCGAGGGATGTGTCCTCCAACTTGGATCCAGTGGGGGGACAAATGCTACAGAGCCACCCAGCCCATGGGATGGTTTGAGGCCAAACAGGAGTGTATCCAGATGGGGAGTGTCTTGGTCCGGCCACAGTCTGACGAACAAAATGAGTTCCTTGCAAGGATAACACCAGAGTTTTGGATCAACTGCAACAATCTTCAAAGAGAGGGTATGTACACGATGCCCGACTCAGAATTTCTCTACAGTGAAAATCACTCGATAAGGTGTTTAACAGGACACTTCCACTGCACAATGTTTGACCTTAGATGCAGCAAATACATCTCAATGTGTAAACACCATTTGTACAATTTTGTATGTACATCAACGCAGTCAAAAGTCATTCACTAGGAGGACAGTGTGGTTCCATTCACTGTAGGAGTTTGGGTGTGCCTGGACGGAACTGCTGAAGTGCAGTACCAAAATTGGGAACAGGGGGAACCAACCAGATAACACCAGAGTGTTGGATCAATTGCAACAATCTAGAAGGTACTGTACCATACACATGGCAAAATTGACTGGACACAGCATAATAAAATTACAATGAACCGCAAAAAGGTTTTAGTGGGAAAGTTCCAATGCACAACATTGATCCACAGGTGCCACGGCACTATTTAAATGCCACTCGTTACCATCAATGCTGAGAAAAGACTTTCGATATTGTTTCTGGTTTAATTCATTCTAGGAGTTTGGGTGTGCCTGGATGGGACTGTTGCAGTGCAGTACCCCAATTGGGAAAAGGAGGAACCAAACATTGGACTGGGTAAAGAGCACTGTGCTGAGGTGTGGAAACCTGGCCCAAGGAATGACGGAACATGTGACTCTCAGAATCCTGCTATCTGCAAACAACCCATGGTACCCCGGCTGCACTTCTAACCTCGCAAAGCAAACTACTGTATTTTGATATTGAAGGCTCTTTCATACTTGCTGTGAAAGCCAACACAGATGCAACTCGGTGACATCAAACATTTGTACTGTAAATCTGCATAAGTACACGTACATGAAGAACACACCAACTCGGGCAATTTTTCACTGCACAATGTTGTGTCATCCCACTTGCAGGTGAACTCAAAAGCATTCAACCACAATGTAAGTGAAATTTATTATTACAAATGGCCATTTTGTTGATCTTGGAAATGACTGTCACACACTAGAACGCATTCATAATCTAATCAAGTTTATCACTGCATGTAAGTCATCCTAACTCTACGGTGATGTGCGTATTGTTCAAGTTGTAAATTTTCAAGATTCAGAATTTAAAAGTACATTGTTAATGGAATACCAACATGAACGAATTTTCTGCCAATTTTTGCTCAATTTGTACTGTTTTCCAGGCAGAGCCTCAAACTGCACATTTCACAGAGGAATTACAGAACACGCAGAAAGTACCAATTCAGTGTTTTTCATCAAAAACGTTTTGCATGTGAACATTGTTATAAAAACAGTTGCCTTGGAAACAGAGAATCACATTGAGATGAATGTTGCAGTTGACAGTTTAAAGTATTGTGCTTGTGACTGTCAGAGATTTCAACTGGGTAAAATGAGCATTAACACTGTCGGATATTTGAAAGAGTAAGGGTTGACGATTTGCATTTCAGCACTGTGAATTCATGTGATCCTTTGTATTATATTTCAAAATTCACCTTCTACAATTTGATTGTAATGTATTTGTATTGCATTTGCATTCATTGTCCGATTTCGGTCGGGGGAAACAGGATGGCAGATCAATTATTTTGACTTTATACAAAATGACGTTTGTCGTCATTTCACTTATAAGTTTAAGCAGTTAAACAGTAAGAACGCAAACACCTATTTGTGCTACACAATTTGCCGAGTAAATTGTAAATTATAAAAGCAGTTTCTCATCATTTGAGTTGCTTTCTTATACGGCAGATTTTTCTGAAATGGTGGATGCATCGTCTGAATTCCTTTGCTGTTCCTTCTGTTTCTACAACAAGTACATGTAAAACAACCTTCATGGATATAAACAGCATTTTGCTTCATAGCCATAAATTGTTAGAAACAAATAATACACAGAATATATGCTGCATATAACCTATAATAAAATAGGGAGAGCTTTAACAAAAACGAAAGTGAGGCTGAGAGACTTTTTTTGTTTGAGAGAGGTTTTTTTAATTTGGCTTAACCAGTAATGGGCAGAAAGAGAACGACCCATGAGTCTTTAATTGTTGCCATGGTTACTGGCACAAACCTGAATACATCCCGTCTGCCAATGAATCGCGAGGCAGGCATGTTCATAATCATTTGTAAGAAAACCAGTCTCTGTGAAAACATTAATTAGACCAGGCAGAGAATTTTTTTTTCCAAACCCGCTGTACAAACTTCAAGGACTGTCACATCAAATAGCAAAGATGCAAAAGTACCGGTAGGGTGAGCGCAAAAGAAAACTTCCAGGGAAGAAGAAACGACGCAATATGTGCACCAAGCACCACGCTGTAAAATTTCAACCGAGTGGAAGAGTTTGCAGAAATTCATTCAGAATGATTCCATGCAATAGACACGCAACGACGCACAAGTAATTACAGGTTTCTCTATAGAGTTCTGCAGACTAACGTCGAAAACATACTGCCAGAAGGGGCTGCATCTGACACCGATGTCTTCTAAATGGTTCATCATCTGCTTGACAAGTTTTTAATCTGATGATGTGGGGCACAACAAGCTAACGAGAGGTGTGTGGCATCCATTGGAGGGGCGTGTCCACCTGCTTGGATCCCGTGGGGGGACAAATGCTACAAAGTAACCGAGCCCTGATGTGGTTCAAGGTATAAGGACCTGTGCATTGAGATGGGCGGTGTCGGGGTTGCGTTGGAGTGAGAAAAGAAGAAGCAAACTAAAGAGCGCAGGGAGTAAGACGGACACTTACCTCTTCCTCTTTCTCTTTCATCCGTAGTTGCTCCTTCTCAAAATCCTGCTGCATCTGCAGCCTTTGCTGGGCCAGACGTTTCTCCTCTCTCTCCTCCTCTAATCGGATCTTCTCCTTCAGCGCCGCCTCCCGCCTCTTCTTATCCTCAACCTGAAATATTCATCTTCATTAACCCTAGCCTTCCAAGATCTTCCTTGCTAAAGTGGAGGCTTTGGAAGGATTGAGGCTGTGTGGTGAGCATGTGGGGTTTATTTCCAAGGATGCAATATGTCAAGGTCTTGGGACGAACCTTGCGTAAAGTAAAATTTCAGTCCAGAACAGCATCCATGCTGCTCTTGGATTTATGACACTGCCTTCAGGAATTTGCTTGAGAATTTTGAAGGATAATTGCAGGGGTCATCTCTTCAAGGCACACATACCGCTAAATGCAAGAAATAATGGACACATTGCAAGACATACTAGCAAAAAAACTGGGGATTTAGGATTAAATCTCGCCAACGGACCTTTATTTCTTTGGTTATACAATTTGACTTAAGAATTTCAAAATGTCAAGGGGGCTCAAGGTTGTTCCCAATTGTAAAGGGTCAAGGTTCGCATCCAGCAAAGGGTCAAATGCTGTGTAACGCTGTAAAATGGGTTATTTGTTTTTATAGCTTACGTTTACACATGAAATGGCGTTAATGAGCTGTGAACCCCCCGGAGCTGAGACGTTTTCAAATGGGATGGGCCCGAAGAGCAGAGATAATGTTAATAAAACTGACACCTTCAAATGACAAATATTGTTGGATACAGCTGTTGGAGTGGATGTCAAAGGTCAACTGTCTGGTACCTGTTGTCTGAGGTATTCCTTGTACTCATCCTTAGGGTCCTTGGGTGTTGTGGTGACCGGCTGCTCAGCGGGGGCACCAGGACGGGGGGATTTATTCACTGAGGACAAAAACATAAAATGCTAGTTGTAGGATTTTTTGTCAAATATAAACTGTTAAAAGAGTGAACACACGGTTGTATGATTCAAAATACATACTGCATTTGATTAGGTCAAAACCGAGTATTTTCTTGTAAAATATGTGACCTAATCTATGAATCTGCAGTTGCTAAAGCTAAATCTAAGTTAAAGGCCTTTGAAAAAATCTTGTACAATGTAACAGGAATTGACTCAAATCTCTGACCTAAAGCCACCTTTCAATGGAATTCCAAACTGAAACTCCATTTTCACAGAGTGATTGGAACTGTAACTTGCAGAGCAGAGGACTGGTTTTACAGACCTGTTATGGGAGCAGCAGGATTTGTGGTGGCTGCAGGTGACTGGTCAGCATAGAGTTGGAGCTGGGTGCTGGCTGGGTCGTTTAACACCTGCTCGTTGCGGTTGTGTAACTGACGGAGGTCGGCTACAAACGACAGAGACAAGATACACATGACACAGACAAGGCAGCTTGTATCAAACCTTTTCAAAAGGACAACAGACGCTTTGCATGGTAGCCATCTTGCTGGGTGACTTCTTTTGTTCCACAGGGTAACCTCCTTTGTGCGTACCCTGGGAAACAAAATCTTCGGCCTGCAAGATGGCAGCCATGCAAACCCTCTGTACTACGAGTGAAAAAAAAATCCAGTATGCATTCTGCATATATTCCAATTTCTTAGTATGTTGTAGATATCAACATGTTTTTATAATTCCAACTATTACTTATTTCTTTTTGAAATGTTCCCAAACAATTGTTCTCACACCCTCAGTGAACCTTTTGGCTAACTGCCAAGAAAAAATATATTTTACCATACCATAATTCAGACATGATCGAGTCACACACATTCAAATTTTCTGCTTACACTATTCGTTGATTATCTTTCAACTTCGGCTTGGAAATTTTGGAAGAATTTTGCAGGATGGTAAGATTACAGCCCAACCACTTTGCATGGGGCTTGATACCGCTGGAGAGTTTCTAAAAGCAACGAATTTTAATTTTCATGTAAAGTGCATGGACTTCGAGGATTTAGGATTGTTTCAACGCCCACTAACCAACTATCTTGCCCTTGTTATCTCTCATGGGAGCCCCGCCCCCTCCCTTCCCCCAGGGATTGTATTCTGCAGCCTCTGCTTCCAGCCTGGCATTGTAGCGCTCCTGCTCCTCTTTCTCCAGTCGCTTCTTCCTTTCCTTCTCCTCCATCTGTGGCAAGGAGACGAGAAGGAACTCCGGAAGGTTTAACAATGACAAAACGAAGATGGAAAACAAACCCCAGAG